AGAGGGAGAAGCAGACTCCCCGCCGAGCAGGGAGCCCGATGCGGGACTCGATCCAGGGACTCCAGGATCATGACCTGAGCTGAAGGCAGTCGCTTAACCGACTGAGCCACCCAGGCGCCCCTGCCATGTAGCATTATTGAGCCATAATCGACTGATGTGGAAAGCACGATTGAAATAAAAATAAATAAATAAACAAATAAAGCAAGTTGATTACAATGTAGGTAGAACTTTTCAGTAATTTTCAATAAAGTATTTAGGAAATCAGTATTCTTGTCGAAAATGTAAAATATTATTATGTATTTTCAATGCCAGAAATAGAAGCTAATGCGAAAAATATGACATCTCTTGGGCATTTATTATGTTGTAGGCACAGTGATAACCTCTGATTATTTTATTTCATCTCAATAATGACACCAAGGTTAAGTGTAATGATTACTATATTTTATGGATATTCAGTGATTTTTCACAGGATCATACTGCTAGTATGTCGTAGAATTGGAATTTAAACCCGGGCAATCAGTTTCTAATGCCTGGGCTCTTAACTTTTTTTTTTCCAGGCCTGGTAAAACAAGCCCTCAAAAAATTGACTTAAGACTCAGAGTTGTTCCTCTCCATGGAAATCTCTAGTGAAAGGTAAAAGACTTATATGATTTGAAGAGACAACAGAACATATTGGGCTCTTAACTTTTATAGCATATCCAGATATCACAGATTCTCTATTATTTGAAGGTGATTTTATCAATTTAATTGCCACTCTAATATATAATACTTTGTATACAAAGATGTCTTCTGCACATTATACATACTAAAGATCATGCTTTCATTATATACCCTACCATATGTGAAGAATCTTAACCTATTTAAAAAAACTCTCTCATTTTATGTTTAAGTATAATATATATAAATGTGTATATTAATTTATGCCTAAATAAATGTGTATATATATATATATGTGTGTGTGTGTGTGCATGGACAGATGATAGATAGATGATAGATATAGATTCTTAGATTCTTTAAAAATATCAATTCTCTGTAGCCTTCTACATTATCTCACAGGTGACCTATTTAAGAGTTATTACTGGACAAAGAAAATGTGAGGCATGCATGTTAATGGAAATTATCAGAGAACTTAAGTTACTTTCAGAAAAAAATGGGTGATTAAAGAACTTTCATAACATTTGAGAATGTTTTTGTGACTAGGTCTAAGGGAATCCAGAATCCTCTCAGGTCATCAGAAAGCATTCTGGGAAGCTCTAAAATATAATGGTCCTTTTGGACTAGTCCTCTATAAATTCTCCACAATGCCTATCCCTACCCCTTACCACCTCCAAATGTCCAGATCCAGGTAAACAAAATACAGTTTCTAGGAAATCGGCGGGCTATACCAAGCCATACATAGAGATCTTAAAATATGAACATGAGGAAGAAGTTCCTATACAGAATGCTAACCAAACATTAGCCAATTACAAGGCACGCCTGAAATTAAAGTCGATGCTAAAAGCAGTCAAATCAAATTAGTTTATCCTAACAGACCAGACTTGGACATTCAAAGTGAAAGAACTTCGTTTATTTTTATTGATCAGTAGTGTTCACCAGAATCTGAAATCAAATATTGGCTTGGCCTGAATATAAACGCACTATCTAGTTGAATGATTTGAATGTTTCTCATTTCCCTCTATCATTTAACTTGCATTATACGAATTCATGTTATTCTCTATGATATTGCTCAAAAGGATATAATTTTTTTACAGTTTTATTTTCCCAGCTATGCAACATTACAGCCTCTCAGCAGCTATTGATTTGCAGAAATGTTTGGATAGACTAGATGGTATTAGGCTGTTTCCATATCTCCTTATGAAACGTGGTCTAGCATCTCTTTGAATTAAATGATTTTAGCCACGGTTACTTGACTTCTAGTTAAAGATATTCCATACAAATACCAGGCCTAGTCACTTACTTTAATATTGGTCAGCTGGCTATTTTCCCAGATCATTTAGAATTCTTATACTATTAAATTTAAAAGACTATTGATTTTAAACTTCTATAGATCAGGTGACTTTTCAACTCTGTGATTCTAAAACAGTGTCAATACACATAGTGAGTATATTACTAAGGAACTGCTAAGCCTAAAAATAATGCACAACATTAAATAGGATTAATTGATAGGACAATTGGTAAGGTTTTCTATTTGATTTTAATGGAGTAAATACCAAATGCTTTATATGGTATTTTAAAGATTTTATTTATTTATTTGACAGAGAGAGACACAGCGGAAGAGGGAACACAAGCAGGGGGAGTGGGAGAGGGAGAAGCAGGCTTGCCGCTGAGCAGAGAGCCCGATGCGGGGCTCGATCCCAGTATCCTGGGATCATGACCTGAGCCGAAGGCAGACACTTAACGACTGAGCCACCCAAGCGCCCCCTTTATATGGTATTTTAATTGTGCAGTTATTAAAACATTACTGAACGATTTACCCTTTTAGTTTCTCATTTGACTCTCTTGAAATAATTACATATTAAACCACTCAACACTATACATTGAGGATTATGTAAAAGAAAAAAGAAGCAACACTTATACTTATTCCATATATAAAAGAATAAGGTACTACTCAGGTACTTGGAATTTCTCCAAAACATACAGCTCATCATTAGAGTCAGAAATAGTTAAAATATATCTAAAAGGTGCATTTTCTGCTGATCATTGAACACTCTCTCAAGCTGGCAGAAACTGCCTCTGTGGATCTTGAGTCACCATCTCTAGCTGTGTGTCACAGAGTTCCAAACGCCATTCTTCCCTTCTTTTCAGGTGAACTCTAGCACATCCGTGCATATTCATAGGCTGTAATGCATTTCTCATTCACTTTACCATTTTTGGTCTCTGAGATTTTTTTTTAATATATAAAAGGAACAGCATGACCCCATCTTAAAAATTGAAATATTCACTGATCTATGGTTATTCCTGTAATATCACAAGTGTTGGTGAATAATTCAAGTTAAATAGTTTCCTATATATTCCATTTTAAAGGGACTTCATTTGCTTTCTTTCAATGGTTTCCTCCTGTGCTGTTCTCACTCTGCATTATTCATATGCAACCTCACAAATTGCTTTGAGTTTGAGCAGTGCTGATATAAATCATAAGGCTATTTTCTCTGGAGGACTTCAGCCTTAAGCTCTACAACTTGTTTTAAAATGAAAACTGTGTTCAATTAAGGTGATTTGTTTGCTTCAAAAAATTAACTATCTTACATGGCCATTTGCAAGGAGAGAAGACTGAAGTTACATTCCTGGGTGCTGAATAATTTTAGGAGTAATTTACTTTCTCCCTCTGGCTATATCCCTGCATCTAGTTTATCCTGTCCATTTATTTGTGGCTAGATCATATTCTTCAGGATATATAGCTATCAAAAATTCCTTTCCCAACTGTTTTGCATTTTGACTTTTGACTAGTTCCTTTGTAAGCAAAGTAAAATAATGTGTTCTTCTCTGCTTTCAGGTCCTTCACTGAAGGAGAGAAACAGAGAGAGAGGAAATGAATGGAAATGCAAGCAAACTGAGAAATTAGATTCATTGTGGAGTACTGCTATAAAAATAGTATTTTAAGAGTGACTGAAAATGGTGGAATAGGGAATCCAATCCATCTCTCCCCAAAAATAACTAATAAGATGAAAGGCAGCTTATGGAGTGGGAGAAAATATTTCAAATCATGTATCTGATAAGGTGTTAAATCCAAAGCATATAGGAAACTCGTACACCTTTATAGCCAAAAAAAAATAAGTCAGAGTAAAAAATGAGCAGAGGACCTGAATACACATTTTTCCAAAAAAGACATACAAACGGCCAACATGATGGATGAAAAATATTCAATATTACTAATCATCAGGGAAATGGAAGTCAAAATCACAATGAGATATCATTTAACACCTGTTAGAATGGTTATCATCCAAAACACAAAAGATACCAAGTATTGGATAGGATGTGGAGAAAAGGGAACCCTTGAGCACCCTTGGTGAGGATGTAAATTGGTTCAGCCCCCACGGGAAACAGAACGGAGATTCCTCAAAAAATTAAAAATCAGCAGCTGCTCTTCTAGTGCAAATTGTTAGAACTAGAGAAAGCAACAAGGACCTTATTCTCAAAGAACTGTGTTTATGGGTCTCCATACATCTGGTACCTTTCTCAACAACCAGTACAAAACATTTATTTCACCCAACTTGAAGCATTCCCAGGGCTGGGATGACTTCCCCAGTGGCTTTTGCCAGAAGCACTTAAACTTACAGATATTGGTTACAGCAGTCTGGGGCAAGGAATAACATTTGGAACAAGCTTGGATTATACTTGAGATTCAATCTTAACTAATGGGCCAAAGAAGAAATCACAGGGGATATTAGAAAATACATTAAGACAAATAAAAACAAAAACAGAACACACCAAAACTTCTGGGATGCAGTGAAGGCAGTGCTCATTTGGAAATGTAGAGCTATAAACATTTATACTGGGGAAAAGAAAAGAAAAAGAAAAGGAAAAAGATTTCAAATCAATAGCCTAACTGTATACTTTAAGGAACTAGAAAAAGAAAAACAAGGTAAATTCAAAGCTAGCAAAAGAATGAAGTCTAACCCCTACTTCATACCACATACAACAATTATTAAAAATAGATCCAAGACCATTTAGATGTCTTCTTTGCAGAAATGTCTGTTCATGTCTTCTACCCATTTCTTGATTGGATTATTTATGCAGCCATCAAAAAAAATGAAATCTTGCCAGCCATTTGCAACGATGTGGATGGAACCAGAGGGTATTATGCTAAGTGAAATAAGTCGATCAGAGAAAGACAAGTATCATCGATCTCACTGATTTGAGGAATTTGAGAAACAAGACAGAGGATCATAGGGGAAGGGAGGGAAAAATGAAACAAGACGAAACCAGAGAGGGAGACAAACCATAAGAGATTCTTAATCTCAGGAAACAAACTGAGGGTTGCTGGAGGGGAGGGGGGTAAGAGGGAGGGGTGGGTGGGTGATGGACATTAGGGAGGATAAGTACTATGGTGAGCGCTGTGAACTGTGTAAGACTCATGAATCACAGACCTGTACCCCTGAAACAAATAATACATTATATGTTAATAAAAAAAATTAAAAAAAGGATCCAAGACATAAATGTGAGAACTAAAACTATAAAACCTTTAGAAGAAAATATAGAAGTATATCTTCATGATCTAGGATTTAGTATTCTTATATGAGACCAAAAGCACAAGCAGAAAAAGAAAAAAAAATTAGACTTCATAAAAATTGAAAACAAAATTGCTCTTCAAATAACACTATTAAGAAAGTGAAAAGACAACCCAAAGAATGGGAGAAAATGTTAGCAAATCATAAAGCTAATAAAGGTCTAATATCCAAAATACATAGAGAACTCTTAAAACTCAATAACAAAAACAAATGTCCAATATAGTAAATGACTTGAATAGGCAGTACCCCAAAGAAGATATACACATTGCCAATACGCACAAGAAAGATATTCTTCTCCCTCTCCTATTCCCCCTGCTTGTGTTCCTTCTCTCTCTGTGTCTCTCTCTGTCAAATAAATAAATAAAATCTTAAAAAAAAAAAAAAAGGGGCGCCTGGGTGGCTCAGTCGTTAAGCGGCTGCCTTCGGCTCAGGTCATGATCCCA